CATTGCACATAGATACTTTGTATGTAGCAAAACCTACCATTGTATGCCCGTGAGAAACGATCCTAATGTATTACAATGTGTGTAGTCCTTTGTTCCTGAAAGAAGGATAGTATAAAACTGAAGACTAATCCCGCCCTCCTTGTTCAGAATTGCCTGTCTCCATTGTGCTTCTGAACCTGCGCAATAAACCTCTCTGCTAACCCCCTCTGGAATTCATAAGAGTTCTTTCGTTTTCCACAAGACAATGGTTCTGAGATAACAACTGCCAGCTCTTTCAGAACTCTGGGATGTAATCTATTGGGTCCCGGTGATTTATATTCGTCAAGGTCAGATAGGTGTTCTCTTACCATTTTCTTGCTTTTTTAAATTTTTGTTTCTAGTATGTCTTTTGCAGTGTTTTTTTTTGTATGTTTCTTTTTGTATGAAGATTGATGCAAAGTATGAGTTAAGCGGTTCTGTTTTCTCTCTTGTTGCCTGTTATTTCCTTGCCATCTTTTCTCTTTACTGGGCCTACAGTTTCCTTGACTTTTTTCTTGTTAATACGTTGGAAGAAACTTTTTATTAACTTTGTTTGTTCTGAGCCTTTGCTTTCCTGACTTCATCTTTGCATGTTCTGGCTGTCTACCGATAATCGGCCTTTGTTACATGCCCCTCTTTTCCATTTTTTGTATTTGTCCTTTTTGTCTTTCAGTTTGTCAGAGAGACCTTTGTGCAGCCACAAACAGGGCTTCTTTTCTGAAGAAACTCTGCAGCCTGATCTTTCCCTCCAGCACCAGGCCTGGCCAGAACATCGGCCAGAACATCCAACTCACAGTAGCCCTTTTGCCCTAGAAATCCCTCCTCTGTCAACAGCCTTGGACTGGGAGACTCATTCAAGATACCTTGAATAAATGAGGATACTGGGTGACTTCTGCCTACTGTGAATGTGATTTGCAGACTACCACACCTACGTACACTTGCCCCCTTGCCCTGCCCAATGAACTCTTGAGGAACTTACGATCACGCAACAGAATGCAATCAGTGTTGCCCGTTTCTGGGCAAGCTTTGCCTAAATTAGTCTTTTGTACATTTTAAATGTTATGTTCTTATGTGTGTACATGCCCACACATAAAATCTTAGTAATGATGCTTCTGACACGAATAAAGGAGATTGGCTCTGGGAACAAGGTAACTGACCTTCCAAATAGATCTCCTTGGCCACCACAGTCAAGCCATAAAGCTTTACAGCAGAATACACATCTCCGGCATCCAAAGAAACTGCATCAGCTTTATTCTCCTGGGAGAGATTTAAAACGTTTTTAGTTTCTTCTCTACCACCCTTCTGGTCCATCTGNACACGAATAAAGGAGATTGGCTCTGGGAACAAGGTAACTGACCTTCCAAATAGATCTCCTTGGCCACCACAGTCAAGCCATAAAGCTTTACAGCAGAATACACATCTCCGGCATCCAAAGAAACTGCATCAGCTTTATTCTCCTGGGAGAGATTTAAAACGTTTTTAGTTTCTTCTCTACCACCCTTCTGGTCCATCTGACATCTAGCATCTAATTACAGAAGAACGTCATTTATAGGATGCAATAGTTCAGTGTTTTTCAGCCTTGGCAGTGTGGACTTCAACTCCCAGAATTCCCCAACCTTCCAGGGTGGATGTCTTGTGCCTTGTGACCAGAGGATGCAGTGAGTGTTGGCTGTCTTTTCCTCAGAAAAATCCAGAAAAAAAACACAAGCATTTCAGTTTTTTAAGGTGCTCAAGGCTGTTTTTTTTTGTTATCTGAGCATAACAGTTCAGATAACAATGTTTTGCAATGGTTAATCAGCACCCAACAATATACGGACATTAATCCTTTGCAGATGAAGCACGAACACTTCTATAATAACAGGTTACATGTTTTCCTAGTGATCAGGCCACTTCCCCGTTATGGAGTGCTGAGTTTATTCAGCTGCTCCGGGAAGGCCTATTTCTTCCACTTCTGACTACCTTGAGCTCCTGGGTTATGTAAACGAAGACTCAATCATCCAGGCCAAAAGCATCTAAAATGGTTAAATCGTGGCAATTGGACCAAAGTTTATTAAACTGAAATGATTCATTACCCAAGTACCTTCTTCAGTCATGATGAAAAATTTAAATTAGGCAAAGAGTCAGAGAGTTGTTGGAATGCACCAACCCTTGCCATAACAACTGCAGGGAGTTCTCCTCAAAAATGTATTACAAATGTTTTTACATTTTTACATTTGCAATACATTTTTGGGGAGAAACCCCTGCAATTGTTATGGCAAGAGTTGGTACATTCCAACAACTCTCTGACTTTTTGCCTAACTTAAATTTTTGTGACTGAAGAAGTTACTTGGATGAGTAATAAAACATCTCAGTTTAATAAACTTTGGTCCAGTTGCCACAATTTAACCTTTTTAGAAACACCCCCTAGGTCAATGATGGCGAACCTTTTAGAGACCAAGTGCCCAAACTGAAACCCAAAACCCACTTATGTATTGTCGGGTGCCGGGCGGGCGTGGCCCATTGTGTGGATGTGGCCCATTGGCTGGGTGTGGCCAATTGGCTGGGTGTGGCTATGGTGGTAACGGCAGACTGGGTGGGACTAAAAAGTTCAATCAATCAATTCCAACTTTGCGAGATCTTTTTTTTCCCCAAGAGAAGCTGAAATTGATTGATTGAACCTTTTTTTTTTCCATATGGCAGTGGAGGACTAAAGCGAAAAGTTTTTATAAAACCCAGCTGAAGGCCTAAGACTGGGGTGCCGGCGGGCGTGCCCACATAGAGGGCTCTGCATGCCCCCTCTGGCACCCGTGACATAGGTTCGCCACCACGGCCCTAGGTTATTTCGCTGAGGGTCTTGTTATGTTATGCTCAGATAACAAAAAATCAATATTGAGCACCTTAAAAAAATGAAGTGCTTGTGCTTCTTTCCTGGATTCCTGACACTAAGAGCCATGAGGAAAAGCCCCGAGGGAAAAAAGCGACATCATTCACCGCATCCTGGGGTCACAAATCACAAGACATCCACCTTGCCATCCCAGTGTAATGACAGATGCCAAGTCACTGATTAGTACCATGTTCAAAAGGGTGGAGTCCCCAACTAAATGAGATACTCCTCAGAGTATCTGTGTCATCTACACAAATTAGTATTTACTTCTTTGGAGAAATAAACAACTTTATCAGATCATTGCTGAAGTTGTTTATTTCTCCAAAGAAGTAAATACTAATTTATGCTGCTCTTCTCCTGGCTGCTCTTGGGAGCTCTTCTGTTTTTCAAAAGTTTGATTTTGAAATTATTCTGCCTGTAACCCTCCCCACCCCAAAGCAACCTGTATCGGTAGAGCACTCCCTCTGCCTCTTCATCCAAGTGTTCAATGAAAATTGTGAAGAGTAAAGGACCTGGTCTCATCCTTGTAGAAATAGTCTTTCTAATGTGATGAGAAACTCTCCTAGAATGGTTTTCACACCAATTTTGTATCTCCTTTAATTGTTCTAGCCAGTTGAGGATTAAATAGTTAACCATTTTAAGCTAACTTGAGCACATACAAATAGAAAGGTGAGGTATAAATGTAATATAAGTTTCAAAATTAAAAACTAATCAGAATGTCTCGTCTATGGAGATTCTCCATTGTTCAGGTCACAGTCATCCCAAAGATGCTTTTTTCACGAGGCAACTGGACTTCCTTGTTTTTCTTTGAAGATGTTTTGCTTCTCGTGCAAGAAGATCTGAAAAAGCTTCTTGGACAAGAAGCAAAACGTCTTCAAAGAAAAACAAGGAAGTCCAGTTGCCTCGTGAAAAAAGCACCTTAGGGATAATCAGAATGTCTTGAGATGTACAGATAGTCTCAGTGCCCAAGAAGTCCTATACCAAGTTTGGCTTCCATGCCTGAACAGAGGCATCCCAGGTTCACGAATCCAGGTTCCCCAGTAAGTTTAGTTCAGGAATGTGGGCTTCTCAGTGAGAATGCCCCAATTACAGTAGGGAACTCTGCCCTGTCCACTGGGCACCAAAAGCTGAATTGGTGACGTGAGTGTCTCCTGGAATTTTGGGAGACTCACCCGAATCTTATTGATACAGTCGTAAGTGTTGTGGGCCAGGATGCAAGAAACCCTCTTCAAAGTACTGCTGGAGACAGGCGGCAAAGTGGACAGAAGGGCTTTGGAGAGCTCAGCGCATTTCTTCTGCTCTAGGGGGGAAAGCGTACACCAGCGGAGCTTCTTCCCTGCAAGCACATAGGAGGTTAAGCAGCACAGTCCTTTCAAGCTAAATAGCTGTGAGCAACAGAGCCACCACCCAGGTCATCTCCAAATGACCACAAATGAAAGCCCCAGGGTCACGTCCACTTAGTGTGCTACACTTGCTTAGCTCTGTCCACTTTGAGCTGGGGAACCAGTCTAACCTCTAGGCGGGAGAGCAGAAGCAAAACAGATGTTTGAACTGGATACCCTCCCTTTCTGTCACCCTTACCTGAGGCCAGATGAGCAACAACAGGCAAGACAAGGAGAACAGCCACAGGAAACAACTTCATGACGGCAGAGGCCCAAATCATCGTCTTCCCCTTCCCTCATTCCAAAGATTCCAAAGCAGTGACAGGAATTTGGGGGGGGGGGGGAGAGACCGAAAATGCGTGATGCAGCAGCTGTGTGGGCTGGAAGTGAAAGTGATGGGATAGGCAGGAGAGAAGGCCAATCCGTTTGTGCTGATGGGAAATTTTACAAAGCAAAACCTCAGCCAGGCAAAATAAAGGATTGCAAGCCTTTTGCTTTTCTCTTCCAACTCCTCTGGGGTGGTTAAAAAGCAGGTGCTACATTGAAAAGACGACACTGGCCAGGGTTAGATTTAGACTAGCCTAGTGAGGCATCCCACACATCAGCATTTTGACAAATGAAGACACCGTAGAAGACATGGTAGTGAAAAATCAGGAGTCCAGTAGCATCTTTTTTGACTAACTCATTTTATTGTAAAGACATAAAATCACTCTTTTCTGATTTTTTAAAAATACAGGTGAAACTAACCTGCACCCTCTCCATTTCTGTTGTCCTCTGTTCACATTTTGCATCTAATCATAACAAGGCTGGCTTAGTAGGATGTGTAGATCTGTATCTTATACAAGGGCAATTCGGAAATAACCCGCCCCTTGGGTTATCAATGACAGACACTCGCAGATACAGAACTTTTATTATACACATTAGAAAACTACAACATTACGTTACTTTTTGACATAATTGCCATTCAAATTGAGGCACTTGTCATAAGGTCTTTCAAAGTTTGAAATGTCTTAGTACTAGTCGCTTGGCGCCAAATCTGGGCTATGGGGTGTGTGATCAAAAACATCCCAGCGGAACTGCTTCAAAAGTTCTTGGGCGCGTCTAGCTGTGTGCGGGTGAGCATTATTGTGAACCAACACAACGGAAGTCAGCAGGCCCCGACGCTTGTTATGGATGGCTCGTCTAAGTTTTTGGAACGTTTCACAGTAGACTTCTGAACTGATGGTCGAACCACGCTCCATGAACTTCACTGGCAGTACTCCTTTGGCATCTTCTCATTTGGCAGGATTTTCTATGGCCTCACTTCCAGTGTGGTGTTGGTTCAAAACAATGCTTGTCCGCACACCGCTAGACGCACCCAAGAACTTTTGAAGCAATTCTGCTGGGATGTTTTTGATCATACCTCCCCTCCCCCATAGCCCAGATTTGGTGCCGAGCGACTACGACTAAGGAATTTCAAACCTTGTAAGACCTTATGACAAGTGCCTCAATTTGAATGGCGATTATGTCAAAAAGTAATGTAATGTTGTAGTTTTCTAATGTGTATAATGTAAGTTCTGTATCTGAGAGTGTCTTGTCATTGATAACCCAAGGGGGGTTTATTTCCGAATTGCCCTCGTACTTATTAACATTGATTATGTATCATCAAATTGTTATCAACTCTTTAGCAACCACAGATTTTCACCAGGAAGACCTAATGCTTTTTCTCTTCCAAGGAGACCTCATGGCCACTAGAACGAAGGCCATCCTCCTTGCTACCGGTTGCCCTCTTCTTTTCTTTCTTTTCATCTTTCCCAGCATCAGACCTTTTCCAGAAAGATGGGTCCTTGCATAAGATATCTGGTCAAGTGTGGTTTGAGGGAAAACACAGGGTCCATTTGTTTTGATGATCCATCCATTTGTTTTCTTATCTGTCCACAGTATTCTCAGGAGTCTTCTCCAACATGAAAAGCTTCAATATTCTTTTCTTCCTGCTTAGTCAAAGTCCAACTGTCACTTTTGCACAGCGTCACAGGGAATACCACAGCATCTGTGATTCTGTAAGTAGAGGCATCCCAACATTTTAATATCTTTTCAAAGGCCTTCATGGCTGCTTTATGGTATTTTTTGACTGGTGGTTCATTGTCTGCTGAGGGTGGGCCCTAAAAGGCAGAAGTTCTCCACCACTTCAAGATCTCCCTGGACAGCTCCAAAATTACCATCCCACCGCAGACATGGGTGTTTTGCCCAACTGGCTGCCACCCGGATTTTGGCCACCCAGGAACCGCAGAGGGACTCAATGAGGGCATCTTCTCCAGTGGTGGTCACGGCTTCTCCGGCCAACAGAGAGACCTTTCTCTTCTTTCCAACAGCAGCAAGCCCTGAAGGCTTGAGTTATTTATAAAAATAATAAAGATGGGATATACATGAATAAAATAATAAGTAATAAATACATAAATAAATAGGGTCCCACCACCATTTGCAAGTGGATCTCTGTGTGAAAAAGCACTAAAACTATATTTTAATTTTTTTTAAAAAAAAACAACAAACTAATTGATGACATGGTTATCTATCAGCAGAGGCCCTCACTTACTTCAAAGAGGCCCTCACATATATATGTTATTTATGACATATTTATAACTATGTCATAAATAACTGTATCTCATATGTATGTATGTATGTATGTATGTATGTATGTATGTATGTATGTATGTATGTATGTATGTATGTATGTATGAATGATGTGTGTGTGGCCATAACTCTCTGTGTTTATAGCCACGGGCAGGAAGGAGGGCCTTCCACACCGCAGCCCCTCAGGCCAGGGGTAGGCAACCTTGGCTCTTTTATGACTCGTGGACTTCAATTCCCAGAATTCCTCAGCCAGCATGGTTCAGCTTGGAAACCTCTCCCTTTCCCCTCAGCGTGGTTGGCTCAGGAATTCTGGGAATTGAAGTCCACGAGTCATAAAAGTGCCAAGGTTGCCTACCCCTACCTCAGGCTGAGGAAGATGGGCGTTGTGATCCGGCGGGGAGGGGCGTGGCTCCAGCCGCGGCGGCCCTCTTCGGTATGGCCTACCTCACGGGGCGGGCGTGAGGAGGCGGCGGCGGCGGCGGCGAACGGAGCGCGGCCGCCCTCAGGCTCGCACTGTCGGCGGCGGCGGCGGCGCGGGAGGTAGCGGGCTCCTCAGCGGTGGCAAGATGGCGGCGGCGGCGGCGCGGGCAGCAGGCAGCAGGTACCGGGGGCTGCTCGAGGCGGAGGGCTCGGCGACGTGAGGAAGCCCAGCTCCCCGCGGCGTCCTGGGCGCAATTCGTGGGAAGCTGGGCTTGGGGTGGGGAAAGCAGCACCGGGGTCTCGGGCTCCTCCGAGGACGCGTCGGGTCGCCAGAGGGGCTGGCTTCGCCCGCCTGGCCCCGGGAAGACCCGGGCTTGGCCCTCGCAGACCCAGTGCGACGGCGGGCCCGGCGGGCCCTCGTCCGGTGGGGATCCCTAGAGGCGACCCTCCGACTCCGGGCGGGCCCTGCCTTTGAGGCTCTCCGTAAGGACCGGCAGGCACGCTTCCTTCCCAGCTCAGGGGACGCTTCCATTCGAGTGGACTTCAACTCCCAGAATTCTCTTGCCACTGTGGCCTGATGAAGAGTTCTGGGAATTGAAGTCCACCAGCCTGAAAGTAGCCAAAGTTTTTCAAGAAATCCGCCCAGTTAGCCCTCGGCCTTAAAAGAATGAAAACTGAACACAGCTCGATTATTCTTTGTCACTTGTCTGAGATGGTACTATAGAGTCTCCTGCTTGAGTAGGGGGCTGGACTAGAAGACCTCCAAGGTCCCTTCCAGCTCTATTCTATTCTTGTAGCGGGTGGGAGGGATGTCAAAGAAGCCAGGGCCAGGACTGTGTGGAGGGGCTGCCCCCTTTTCCGCGGATACACCTGGCCAAGGTGCCACTTCATGCAAATGAAACTTATCAGCGGGTCTTGCCTGCTGGTGAGGTTACCTTGTGACTTGGCAAATGGCCTCTGATTTTATCTGTTTCTTTAGTCTTTACACCACCTGCTTTTCTGGCTTGTGGCAAGGATTGAAAACAAGGCTGGTATTTTGCTGTGCCAATGATGCACATCTTAGAACCCCCCTTTTAATTAAACGTCTGGCCTACTTGACCCCATTCTACATATAGGTGCTGGTTAGTTGCCAAATGTGATTCGGTTTCTGTGAATGAGGTCAAATTCTGTTTTGCTAGATTTTCGGTGCCTTCAAGTCAGTGTTGATTCCTGGCCACTGCCTGAGCTACTGTGGTTCCTGTGGTTTTCTGGGCGAGTTTTCAGTAGTGGTTTGCCATTGCCTCCTTCCTAGGGCTGAGACTGCCCAAGGTCACCCAGCTGGCTATCATGCCTAAGGAAGGACTAGAACCGATGGTCTCCCTGTTACCAGATCGGTGCCTTAAACTGGCTCTTAGACCAATTTTGATTTTTTTTATTTTACTCTGTAGGTTTTCTTGTTTAAAAGATGGCAGCTGATATTCTAAAATGTAAAAAGACCCTTTAACGTCAATACTAATACCAAAAGACTTCAAAAGAGATAAGTTTTTGTAGTGTTCTAAACATCGAAGTTGGGATAGAGGCAAACAGAACTTGCCAGACAGCAAAGCAGCAGAAAAGATTCGCTCCCCGAGAAAGATCTGCTGCTGGGAGAGTGGCATCTTCAAAACAGCATCTCCTGCAGGTCTTCCTGGCTAGACAGATTTGTAACAGGAGAGATGCCAGCTATGTCCTCAGATAATCGGGCTCCACATCAGGGAGGGCTCTAAAAATCAATGTCAACACTTTAAGGCAGTGGTTCTCAACCTGTGGGTCGGGACCCCATTTGGGGTCGATTGGCCATTTCATGGGGGTCGCCAAGCAAGGCTGTCCGCCATTTTTTTTGTCCACCATTTTTTTTTGTCCGCCATTTTTCCCCCTTTTCCGGCGGGTGCCTTACCTCCCTTGGGCTGGGCCAGGGCGGAACCACGCATGCGCGGCGCTCACGGGCAGGGAAAGTCCTCGACTTACGACCGGTTGGGTAGTCCTCGACTTACGACCGGTTTAGTCCTCGACTTACGACCGGTTTAGTCCTCGACTTACGACCGGTTGGGGTCGCGGCATTAAAAAGGTTGAGAACCACTGCTTTAAGGGGTACCTGGAAAGTAATTGGCAAATGGGGCAGATCTTTCTGGATGTGTCTCATACAAGCCCCATATCTAGCATATGTTACTAATCTGTCTGCTTCACTGGCATCAACCACCATTTCTGGACT